ATCTCCCAAAGGCTGGGTCACAGGTATGAACCACTGTGCCTGGCCCCAAAGCCAACCTGTTGGAGGTGGTGCAGTGTCAAAGCTGACAGTTTATTCTCTCTCCTTCCTCCTCTCCTCTTTGTTTCTGGGCACCCTTTGCCCTGTGCGTCTGTATCCTGCCTGCTACCTTTGAGGTGACCTTTCTTCCACTTCTAGAACCAGAGCTGGGAAGGTTTCTACTATTATTACAAATTTAATTTCAGATTCCTGGAACTCACCTCAACCCTGCTGAGTGGGGACCCACTGAGTGAGCCAGGAGTTCTTATATCTTTAAGGACCCCAGAGGGTTCCACTCGTGCAGCTGTGGGAAAGGCTCAGGTCTAGAACTTCACTATTCCAAATTCAAGATGGCAACGGAGAAAAGCAGCTACTACTTAACGCCAACCAAAGCGTGTTCCAAATGCCAGATGCCCACAGGGAAGAAGGGCACCACTGTCAGGCCTTCAATGTGGTCATAATGTATGCAGTTTATTTACCCTTTAAATTCATAAAACTCGAGTAAGCCCATCACGCTCTCTTGGACCTAACTGGCTCCAAACTTGGCTAATTTCAAGTTCATGGCCAAAGCCGTCATAATGCTGGCAGCAGGCCATGGGTCCAGGCCAGACTTTATGGTTCAATTCCTATTTGAACAGTCTGTGCTGTTTCATTGTTACAGCTTAACTTTGGCAACTTGATAAAAATAGAATTCTTAAGTCTGTAACACTCCTAAAGGAAATGTTGTAAGTAATAAAATTCGAGTTTGAGGAAGAATTCCTGGGTGGGGACAGAGGGTGGGTGGGAGGTGGGAGAGAAGAAAAAAGGAAGCCACGCTGTTGTCAGTAGAGGATGTTAAAACACTGTCCTGCATTATGTCTAAGTGGGGCTGTCCCTTCTTGGAAATACGACTCAGGGAAAGAAACTTCCCTGCCCACAGCACTGTCCCTCTGCCTCACTTCTTCCTCAACGCCAGCACCCCTCACCCAGCTGGAGAGGAAAGTCCAGCACAGGCTCAGCACCATACTGGTGTTACAAGGCTGGGACCTAGTTCCGTGCTGATGATTCTAGTGTCACAGGCCAGTGCTGGGTCCCAGGCAGGAAGACAGACTCTAGAGCCCTCATATAACCTGAGGCCAGGCACTGGAATGTCCAGGGCATGTCCCTGCTGAAGGGGATATCCCCGTGAGTGACTATCTATGGCCACAGCAGGGAGGGATGAAACTGAGGGACTTAGGGTGGTGGGAAAGGGGACAAGAATGCCCCAGAGATGATTTGAAGAACCGACGCTCCTGCGCCTATAAAAATACGAGCAAGCGTGTCAGAACACAGGGCTGAACCCATGACCACAGGGCACAGAACAAAAGACCTGGAACTGCCTTTTCATATAGAACATTAAAATTTGTTCAGTAGTAATGAGCTTCCCAGTTAGCAAAAGTATTTGCACACAAAACTGTGGGTGCTGGGAGGGGAAATTTCTAGGTTTTTGCACTTTTCATTTGACCCTTAATTTAGAAAAGAAGGAACAGAAAGACAGACATCACCCTGGGGCTATCTGCAGCACTCTATGGAGCCGCCAGTCTCCTGGCCTTTCTCTGTGACTCTGCTGTATTATGGGCTCAGAGAAGAGGGCCTGTGAACAGGCAGGGGATTCAGTGGAAACACCAAGCCTATGGTCCACATCCTCCCTCTGGACCAGTACTCATGGTGGTAGATATACACCCACCACTCATATCCCTTCCTCCTCACACTCGCCAGACCACCCCTCAAAAGCTGCTTTCTATGGCCAAAACAATGAACGTGGCAGGAATGATTTTGGATCAGCCCTGGGCCCCACCTGAGGGGTCAGAAGCTCCTGCTTTCCTTCTGTGGCAGCCACCCATAAGTCTATATGACAGTGCCAGACTGTGAGAAGCCCCAGTTAGCCACATCAGAGAGAGGGGCCATGTGGCCGAGCACTGAGGCACCAGGCCGGTCACTGGGTCAGCCCAGGCCTTGCTGCCAAACTCAGCTGAGTGGGCAAGTTGAGCAGACGCCACATAGCAAAAGAACCAGAGCCTAGCTCTGCCTGTGTTCCCAAACCCCTAATGGAAAATGACACATCTCTGTTGTAGACCACTGAGAGTTGGGATAGGTGGTTAGGTGGCAATAAATAACTGATCCAGTCATACCAGGTCCTGCCACCAATACCCACGTCCTGTTCTCCAAATCTCACCCATCCCTCAATTATCAGCTGTACTAACACCTTCTTCTGGAATTTTCTCTCATCATCTCTCCTCATCCTCACCCTGTAGCTCCTGAACCCTGCTCAATAAATACCTATTCAACCTTGAAGGCTCAGCTGAAAGGTGCCCTCCTCTGGGAAGCCCTCCTGACCTCTACAATGGCCCAATAAGGCTCAGGCCTGCCCCTTTCCTGTGACCCTCTGCTTGTTTCTCCAGCTGTCACTTTATCCACATATACCTCATACTGAGCCATGACCTACCACATAAGAAGGACTCAGTAAACTCAGGAATGGGAGGAACCAACCCCTCCTCTGCTCGCTGTGCCCCCACAGACAACCTCGCTCATCTTCTGCACACCTGTATGTCACTGAGCGTAAGGATCACACCAACTCAGCTCTACACCACTTACAGAGCCTTGCACACAGTCGGCACTCTATAAATGTTCTGTTGCCTGTTAACTAATCATCGTGTGACTTGTGGGCCTCAGCTCCAGAGTCACGGTGTAGCTCTGATACTCAGCTTCCAGGTCTTCTGGGCCCCAGAGCTCTACAAGGCCAAAGGAGGTTCTGCTGGTTTATTTCTGCCTCTTCTCAGTCACAAATTCTCAAAACTCCACCCAGTTTGCATTCACAACAACGGGTCCAGTCCAAAAGGACCATGATTTGGAAGGCACATTCTCTCCAAAGGCATCCACCTCCACCGCTACACAGATAAATGTCTAAGAACACACACAGCTTCCCACACAAATCAACTGGAAATATCTGGCCCCATCTGTTGTTCTAAAGCCCGGTCCAGACAGCATTGTCACCATAGGGACAGTCACCTTATGAACTCACACAGGTCTCATGACCTTTTCTCCACATTCCAGAGATACAGGGCTAAGTGGCCTGGGGGGAGGGGGTCACCATAAGCGGTGTGCTGTCCTGCAACTCCTGGTCCTGCTTGGCCCGGGTGAATCCTTATCTGTAAAATGAGCACTGCGCTCTGGGGCTCATGTCCAGAGCATGTTCGCATCTGACTACTGTGGACCCTCCCCACACCCTCTGAGGTGCTGGAATGGAGCCCTGACTCTCCCCAGCTGGGTCAGGGCTCTGCAACCTCCCATGTTCTAGAAAGCCCCTCCTCCACTGGGACCTAATCATAAAATTCCACAGGCTCAGGAAGGTCACAAAAATCTCAGCTCAGCAGTATACCCCCGTGTCACCCAGAGTGAGCAAGTTAGAAAAGGTGACAGGCCTGCAGAGGAGGACTGGAGAAAAAGGAGAAGGGGCAATCAAGATGTGGTTTCTACCCAGCACACAGTTGGTCCTCCACAAGTCCCCAAGGACCATTTACGTCTGAGCTTAACTCCAGGAGACAGACTGAGGCTGAACACTGTGTTGCACAACAATGATCTTAGAGGCACCGTGGCCCAGGTTCTAATCCCACCTCTACCACTTGCCAGTTTTCCCCTCTGGAAAACTAAGTGCTGTCCCCTCTGAGTTTGTCATGGGGCCCATAAGCTATGGTCGTGAAGGGACTGGCACAGTGTTTAGTTCATAGAGGTGCTCAATAAAGTTGAGCTCCCTTCTTGTTGCCTTTCACTCCCGCCTCCAATTAGAAAAGGCTGGCTCACCATTGAGACTATCTAAAAGTGAGAATCCAAGTAAAAGACAGGGGTTGTTAGTTAACTTTCTGAACTAAATGTGATGCTCGGAGACAGGAGACTGGATCAACATCTAGTATCTCCCCAGACACAACAAGAATAGAATCCACTGCCCCAAGTTGTTAGGCCAGAAATCCAGCACTCTGACATGCAGTATAGATCAATGCTCTGTCATTTTCTGTGAACTGATATTTTCATAAATTGCATGGTTCAAGTCTACATGTGTTCCAAGGCTGAAGTAAAATCAAATCGTTCTTAAAGTTTCTAAATACAACTCTCAATGTTGGAATCACCCAGAGCTGGGTGTGGTGACTCAACCTATAATCCCAGCTACTTGAGAGGCAGAGATGTAGCAGGGGAAGCAAGGCCAGACTGGACAAAAAGTTAGTGGATACTCCATCTCAACAAAAAATCTGGGCAAGGCAGGCAGAAGGCATAGATAGGAGGATCAAGATCCAAGGCTAGCCCAAGCAAAAACACAAGACCCGTGTGCAAAATAACTTGCTGGGAACCAAAAGCCACAGTGTGTCAAGTTCAGAATCTGCAGGTGCACCATGTCTCTATCATGGTAGGAAGGAATGCTAAATGGTTTCCCTTGACTAAAAAGAAGTTTACACTTAGTCAAGGACACTGACAATAAGAATGCAGGATGGCCAAAACAGAAAGGTTGCAACTAGGTCGGAGTGTTTTTGATGTTTAAGTTTCTTCCTCTTTTGTATAAAGCTTGCTGAGAAAAATAAAATTTTGCTAGTTGGTCATCAGCCTGCTGGTCCTCTCAATATGTGTCTTGTCTGTTCTTTCCTTCCGTGAGCCCTTTCGGGTCAAGGACCTCTGTGATCCTGGCAATAACTAAAGCAAAAAAAAGCTGGGGGCATGGCTCAAGTGAGCACCTGCCTAGCAGACGTGAGGCTCTAAGTTCACACTCCAGTATCACACAAGAAAAAAGTCACAATGTTGGAATTATTCAATGCTACCAAGCACCAAATGATTCACAAACTGTCCTTAAAATCTATGACCCACCCTTGGGATGGTACTAATGAGTTTAGTGAATCTAGTGTAATACTGTCACATGCTACAAATGCCTACAAGAGATGGAACTGTGAAGTTCAACTTACTTGCTGATGGCTGAAATTTGACCAGATCTTGCAAATCAGTAGAAATCTGGAAAACATGGCTATAGAACTGCTGGACGGAATTCTTCAGGCCAGAAATGTCTCTGGCATGGGACCTGAGTGTCCCGTTCATCTGCCTTACACAGTTCCATAGGCTGTTAACATGCTTGTTCAATCCCTCCTTGATCCTCTGCAGGCTTCCAGAGATGGAGTCCAGCCTGCTGCATGTCTTCTCCATTTGAGACACCCTGTCCTCCACTACAGACACCTCCCTCTGGACCCCCTGTGTATTTTCCTTACAAGTGTCCAGCTCAGCCAGTACCTGGCCTTGCAGCTTTTGCCACCTCTCCTCCATCTGGCCACAACACTGAGCCACAGGGTCCTGGGGAGATGGGAGGGTCTCCATCATTCTTTCTTGCTCACCCCCCTTAGTCAACCCACCTGTGTCATCATTTTTACCTGGTCTACAATTGCTTATTACATTCTGAAGAAGAGCCACACTGCTTTGTGTGTGATTTAGTTGAAAATAAAGAAAACTAAAGTCCTCTTCGAGTTTCTGGATGCTCTGTTTGGTTTCTTGGAGCTTCCTATGCAATGTGTCATTTAGAGATATCAAAAGGCTCAAGCTGTCACTCGTGTGATCAGCTCCATTTGGTATAGTACCTTCTAACCTATGTGGTCCTCCCTGGAAGTTCTGTAGGCAAATGTCCTCCACTATTTGCACTTTGTCCTTCAGATGATTTAATTCCATCACGACCTGCTCATTCCCTGACCCGGACAGCCCTGGAAGGGCTAAGCTGGGGGAAGCGAGCTCAGCCTCAGAGTCATTGGCCACTTGGAGGAGAACGCTCCCCAGACGGTTCTCCAGGGAGTGGATCTTCTGATCAAGAAGCTGCCTCAAGTCATCTACCTCCCCATTAATGGTCCCCCGAAGGGTTTCTTCAATATAAAAGCAATGCTCTTCGGCATTCTTCTCCGTCACATTGATCCTCGCGTCTAGTTCATTCCATCTTGCATCGAAGTCCACATCTGGTTCTGGAACTGCGAGGCGGTCAAACTCATTATCCAGTCGTCCATTCAGCATTCTTGTGGCTTCGGCGACTCTCTCAATTTTCTGATCTAACATCTTGATCTGTTGACCAAGGTCACCATTCTTCGTACCCTCGCAGCAGCTTGGCTGGGCTGAAGGGTCGTGCAGCCGTGCTCGAAGGTCACTTATGTCTTTCTTCAGGCTTGCTTCCTTCTCCCCGATCAGCTCTATCACCCCCAGGTAGCTGCTCCCGTAGTCATCACACTGCTGTTGGAGGCCCACCAGCTTGTACTCACACGTGTTCTTCAGGTCAGCCAGTTTTCTGTCCAGACCCTCCATGAGCTCCTCTCTCAGGGCATCCATCTTACTGTCCACATAGGCTTGGAACAGCTCGTTGGTGGTCATGGTCACTGTGGGGCCCTGGGCAGCCTCTTGCAGCTGCTTGAGTTGCCCTTCATAACCCTTCACTTTCCCATCCAGCTCTTCCAGCTTGTCACTTTTAGTCTTCAGAGTGTCTTTGACTTCGGCCAATTCGGACTTGATGTCCTTCATGCCAGATTCCTTGGTATTGAGGAGGCCAGAAGGCTGGACAGTGTCTGTGTCTCCAGCAACATCACTATCAGGTGCTGGCTGGGGGCGTAGGTTGCTGGTGTCATCCTGACTGGCATGCTTGAGGTTCTCATTCACTCCTGCCATGGAAGACTGGAGGTCCAGAACCATCCTTGTGAGTCGAAGAACTTTCTCCTCAAGCACTTGAATTTTCTTTTCCTGGAGTTCTTGAGGCCCCTGTTTGGTATCTGCTGCCTGACTTGGTTGTGCTGCAGGAGTTGGTGACAAAGTCTCCTTGGGCTGTGAGACTTGGCTTGGTTCAGTATCTGTTAGAAAGAAAAAGTTGGATGTGAATTAACATTTGCTACCTTTAGTTACTTTCTGAAAAGACAATAAACAGGGAGCCCAGAGAACAGCCTAAACCTTCACTTACAGGCAGGTAATTGCCATGACAGAACATAAAAAAGAATGGGGCTTGGAGTCACATGGATCTCTCTTCTCTGCTGTTAACTGTTGCCCTTGAGCAAGTTAATTAAATTCTATGAGCTATAATCCCCTCCTCAATAAAGAGGAGGTACAGTCCCTCCCAGTGTTGTTAAGAGAATGTGTACATGGCGCATGATAGATAACTAATGGTCCCTTTGTCCCTGAAGGGAAATATTCATTATCTATCACTTCAACACCTCATTCTCACATTACTGAACTGCTGCCACAAATCAATAGTTGATTGTGTACTATAAAATTACACAAAGCCACTTCAGCAAGCTCCAATGGGGAGCTACTGGATCCTATATTGCCATATGTCATTTAAGGTTATCCTCAAAACAACTGAATGTTCTTTTGCTTTTATCACCATCCCTATGCAAAAAGAATTTCACCAATATCGTTTGGCCCTGTTATGAGGTTGGGGAAATTAAAAACCAAAGAGATGCTTGCCTGGCATGCATGAAGCCCTGGGTTCAATCTCTGGCATTAAAATTAAAAAAAAAAAAAAAGGAATGAAAAGAGAGATACAGCAACTATTCTATTGGTATCACCTAACAAGAAAACCTTATATAGTAAGATTCACTAAGTCAAAAACTACAAACATCAAGTGGTAGAACAACTGCCTAGCAAGTGTGAGGCTCTGAGTTCAAACCCCAGTACTGCAAAAACTACATTCAATGTTTAATAATCTCATTTTGAGAGAACAACCCCAGAGAAACAGTCCAAAGGAAAGAAACATATTAAAAATGATACTGAGTCATAAGGCCCTTTCTTTGGTGGTACTGGGATTTGAACTCAAAGCCCTGCATTTTCAAGGCCACTTGAACCTCATCTCCTGAACTTTAGTCTTAAATTATATTTCAGATAGGGTCCCACATTTTTGTTCAGGGCCAGGTGCAGACCACCTATGCCTTCCACATAGCTGAGATTCTGACAGATAGTACCACCACACCCAGCTTATTTGTTGAGATTCAGTCTTGCTAACTTTTTGCCTAGGCTTGAGCCAAACCACACCCTTGAAGACAGTAGGAGTAGAGGGATACAGGACAGAGATAACACTGACCAGCCTGGTAACATAGGCACAGCATGGAAAGTGGAAAAAAGTCAAACACAACACAGATGACAATTAATAAATTAATGCACAAAACTGAAAAACACTGGACATAAATTTAGAATGTTGTAGGTATCTAAATTTACTGCTCCTTGTGTCTTCCTTCTTTGAACTTTTGCACACAATGACATTAGGAGCTTTGATTTATTAGTCACTTTGGTGGTAAATCAAGACTAACGCTTAGATGGCCAAACTCTTAGGCTTATCTTTGTCCCTGCAGAGAACTACAAAAAGCACCTTATTTTCCAATTTGAAATTTTTATTCTCTCTCAAGACACTAGAAAAAAATAAGTTATTGAATCATATATAAAACAAAGTGCTATTCTGAGCCCAGGACATAAAAACATAAGGCAAAAAAATTGGGGAAGATCAGGATATAAAGAAATGCCTCTTTCATGTACCATTTGCAACTGTGTGTAAACTGGACAGTTGCAATACGTCTCAAAATACTCTTCCTTTTGACCCTGCAATTACACTTCTAGAAATTTATTATAGAAAATTATCAGGAGGAGTACAAAAATTTTAAGGGAAATGATGCCCATTCAAATATGATCTATGATAATGAAAAATTATAAACAACTTAAGTGACTAACATAGGGGACTGTGTTCAACCACATTCTCTGAAGCAATTAAATGATGCTGTAGACTACTGAATAGCAATGGAAGGTTGCCTATTATTGACTGATTAGTAAAAAGTAAGTTCTAAAAACAGTACTTTTTTATTTTATTTTATTTTTTTGAGACAGGATCTTCCTAGGTAACCCAGGATGGCCTCAACTCTCAATCCTCCTGCCTCAGTCTCCTGAGTGCTGGGATTTCAGGTGTGTACCACCACACCCAGCAAAAATATGTTCTTTACAATGGATAATGGATAAAATCCCAGTAAAATGGTAATAAAAAGGGGAGGGGACCCAAAAACCCACCCAAGGCATATATAAAAAATTAGAATCAGATGGCTTGGGCCTTTTTAATAGCAATATTGGAGGCTTAGAGAATAAAGGAGCAATGTCTTAAAAATTCTGCAGCTGGGTGTAGTGGTGTATGCCTGCAATCCCAGATACTCAGGAGACAGAGGAAAAAGGATCCTTAGTTCAACTCCAGCCCGGACAAAGTTAGAGAGACCCTGCCTCACATACAAAATACAAACAAAAGGGCTGGGGGCATGGCTTAAAGGGTACAGTACTTGCCTAGCAAGCACAGGCTCTGGGTTCAGTCTCCAGAACCCTCTCCCAAAATGATCCAAAGAAAAATGACTTCCAATCTAGAATTCTGAAGCTAGAGTACAAGTGTTTCCAGACTATAAAGTATTAAAAAGTTTATTTCTCAAACCATCTTCTCATGAAATTTCTGGAGCGGGCTAAGAGTATAGCTCAATGACAGAGCTCCTGACTAGCATGCAGGAGGCCCCAGGTTCAATCCTCAGCACCAGAAAGAAAAATAAAGTTCAAAGTAATTGCCTCTGGAAAGGGAAAGCAAAGGAGAATAGGAAGTCATCATTCTTCCCAGCAGTCCTTACAAAGCTATTTGATGGGGCTGGGTGTGGCTCAGGTGACAGAGCATCTGCCCAGGAAGTTTGGCCAAAAGAAAAAAGTAAAGCTAACTGACTTAGGAAAGCTACATATATGTTTAAAACTAAGCTAAACAAAGATAAGCTATTGGGGTCCAACAGGCCCGACCCACGTTTCCCCTCCAGAGTGTCCTCACGGTTCTCTGTAACCCTCCTCTAATGCTCATCTCTCCTGAGCTCAGGAATGGCATCTGCCTTGTTTTTCTACTTATTCCATGTATTTCATATGCCACCTGCCGGAGGCAGACGCTTCATATGTATTCATGGGATGAGTGGATTTTTCTTTAACAAAATGTATATTCAGGTTTAGAAGAGACTGATGTTCTAGAACAAAATGTTAGGATGTTATAGTTTCAATGTCCTTCCAACTCATGTTGAAATTTTACATTTGATTTGTTATGTGACAAATGCCACATGATCTTACACATGGAATCCAAAAAGAATCAAACGCACAGAAGCAAGGAACAGTAGTTGCCAGGAGCCGGGGGCTGGAAATGGGAAGATGTTGGTCAAAGGGTATAGACTTTTTGCTACAGGCTGAGTCAGCTCTGGGTGACGCGTGGGCGGTGAATGTGCGTGTTAATTTGATGGTGCCAGTATTAAACACTGTTTGTAGGTATCACATTATTGCATTGAACACCTTGAACATAATTGGTCTTTGAAAATTAAATATTTTAAAATAAATAATATTTCCCAATATTTTAAAAAACATTATTTAATTTGCATTCAACACTTCTGTAATAAAATTAATTTAAAATATATTTTACAGACACTCTCACTTTCAAAACTGAGAATACCTCATGGGACAATGAAGATCAAAGACAACTTAAACATCTAATTGCACAGGAAAAGCTAGGCTGCATTTACTGTGACTCATCTTAAAAAGAGGAAAGATAAAAGAGATGTAAGAGCAAAATGCCAAGAAAAAAAATTTGTTTGTTTGGTGGTATTGGGGTTTGAACTCAGGACTTTGCGCTTGAAAAGCATGCACTCTATCACATGAGCCACCCCTCCACTCCATTTTGCTCTGGTTATTTTGGAGATGAGGTCTCATGAACTATTTGCCAGGCTGACCTGGACAGGCTGACTCCCAATCTAGACGTAGCTCCCAATCTCCCAAGTAGCTAGGATTACAGGTGTAAGTCACCAGCACCTGGCCCAAGAAAAAAAATGCATCCATACAAATCGTCCTCTTAACATTACACTTCACAACAAATACGAGATACAGGTGAGAACTCTAACTGCGGGTCAGCATCGCAGAAGTCTCAGTCTCATCCCAAACACTATCATGCTACTTACCTCATTTTTATTTTATTTTGTTCATTCATTATTTATTTATTTAAAAAAATTCTTTTGGTGGTGCTAGGGTTTGAACTCAGGACTTTGCACTTGTTAGGCAGGTGCTTTACCAAGCCACTCTGCCAACCCTCATTTATTTATTTTTGATACAGGGTTCAGGCTAGCCTGCCTCAGCTTCCTGAGTGCTAGAATTACAGCCAGACACCACCATGCCCAGCATTTTAAGTCAGTTTTACCTCCTTATATTCATATTTCTGGATCTTATGAAGTTAAAAACAAACAGAGCATCACTGCATTTGACACTTTTTTTTTGTAGTACTGTGATTTGAACTTAGGGCCTCATGCTTGCTAGGCAGGCACTTGAGTGTTTTTCACTTTTCAGTTGTGTGTGTGTATGTGTGTGTGTGTGTGTGTGTGTAGTGCTGGAGCTTGAATTCAGGGCCTACACCTTGAGCCACTCCACCAGCCCTTTGATTTTTGTGATTTTTTTTTTTTTTTGAGATAGGTTCTCTGAACCATTTGCCCAGGCTGGCTTTGAACCGCAATCCTCCTGATCTCTGCCTCCCGAGTAGCTAGGATTACAGGCATGAGCCACCAAGCGCCTGGCTTCACTTTTCAATTTTGATAGTGAAAAGAACACTATGTATATTTATATCAGGATCAATGTATAGAGAAAGGAAAACCGGAAAACCAGAACCTAATCACTCAAATTTTGGCCATATGGCCAGGTGACTATTTGAACATATTAGAGTTAATACTTTTTAAAAGTTATCTAACTTATAATGCTTACTACTGTATTGGTGACAGAATAATTTCCAGCACAAGGCAGATACTGAATATTCATTTAATTTCATTAAAAAAACTTCAGGTTATTCATGCATGCATCTCTTCCACAAATTATGTTATATGCCAATCACTATTCTAGGCACTGAAAGTACAAATGTGAGCAAGATTGGTAAGGTCACTGTCCTCCTAGAGTTTTTGTGCTTGGGAGAATTATTAGACAGCAAGTAAATAAATACTTGCTGGAAGGTGTACATGCTACAAGAGAAATAAAACAGAGTAGCATCTGGAGAAAAAGGTATTTTCAGATGGTAGGATCAGGGAGTATCTCACTGAAAAGGTGACACGTGAGCTTAAACCAAGTTTACAACACAGGGTATTTTTCTATCTGCTTCTCACAGTTCTCCAGTTCATAGCATGATGCAGGAAGTCACATAGTGCTTGCTATTCCAGAAGCTGCCTGTGGACCAAGCTGTCAATGGACCGAGCTGCAGGAGGTATCAGGCTGACCACTGTCAGAGCATAGACCCCAGCTCAGAATGAGTGCTGTGAGCCTCTCAGGCTGGGAAAGAGCAGCATCCTGGAGTAGGAGGTAGAAGCAAGGAGAGGCTTTATGGAGGAGGAAGCAGCAAAGGATGGCTTTAGGATCAGGGTGCAGAGCACAGGTTCAGGGCTCTGGGATCAAACTGTGGAATACAAGCCTTGTTTTGAATCCTGACTCTTCTGCATACCAGTTTTGCCTCTTGGAGCAATCTGTGAGATTCACCATCCTATCTACTGATAGGAGTGTCCCAATAGGTCCTCAGGACTTGGTGTAGTATCTGAATAACTGTAAGTGTTCAGTAAATGTCAGCTATTATTAAATAGTGAGCAGAGACAGCAAAATTTAAATATGCTCAAGAATACAAAGTAAAATAAGAAAGCAGCCTCTCTCCTCAGAAATCTCATTACATACTCACTGTATGAGAATTCTCCAACATGCCTCCTACTCTCTGACAGGTTTCTGAGGGCTTGACTGAGGTGTTCTGCCATGAAATCAAAAGCATTTGACACTCTTCACCTCAGTGCCTCCAGGCTACACTGTTCTGAACCCAACCACATTTCCACCTCATTTCTAAGGCACTGGCGTTCATAGGTTGGTCCTAACAAAGCAATTTACTTGCAAGAACCTCTGTCTTCCAATTGCTTTTGCTTCTGCAAATAAGTTTCTGCTATCCGAGCTCAACTTTGTACATCCTAAGTCCTTCCCCCTGACAGCACTGGAAATATGAAAGATGGCCGTATTTGCAAAGCACCAACGACATGTTACCTGTAGCTTTCTTCACACTGTTTCGAGGCCGAGCAGGCGTGGGGCGGGGGGTCTTCTTGAGGTCTTTGGGACCTTCTTGGCAGTCTGCTCCCCTGAAGCCAGGGCAGCACCTCCATTCCAACTGTGTCACTGTTTTGTACCTAGTGACATATCTGGGTCTGAAGTTTACCCGATACCTGCAGATGGAAGGACAGGAACTCCTTTTAGTGGTCATTATTATTATGAGTGCCTCTGACACTCCTGGGCCTAATAAAGACAATCTGGGCCTCCCTGATCCCCCCAGGCTGACCTGGAGGGGTTGCTGATCTTCTCAGTCTAGCCCTGGCTCCCTGGTGTTCAGGAAGGCAGAGGCTCCCCACTCCAGGTACAGACCTCCTTCCTCGGTATCTCTTTTGTGTTTTGAGACAGAATCTCACTATGTAGCCCAGGCTGGCCTCGAACTTGTGATCCTCCTACTTCTACCTCAAGAATCCTGAGATTACAGGCAGGTGACACCACATCCATCTCATTCACCTCTTATATCCAAGAGAAAAAGACCTTAGAAAAACTGAGAGGGCTGAAAATGTAGCTCAATGGTAGAGCACTTGGCTAGCATGTGCTAGACCCTGGGTCTGATCCACAGCACAACAAAACCAAAAACAATCGAAAAAGCTACTTTGGCCCCATGCCATTTAATGTAGATACTTTTCAGCTCCCAAAATGAGGTTTTGCTTTACCAACAAACTTCTGTTCTGCAACTCAACAGCTCTATGGGGATTTTTCAGGTGCAACTCAAGGTTGTTTTGTTTTGTGTTTTAAAGAACATCCCCAGAGCCCCTGTTTCCCATAAAACCCACATATCCACCTCTGCACCTTCTTTTCTTAACACTAGTAAAGGTAGTAGGCTCTGGAGATGGCACCTCACACTATTTGTGTTCAAATCTTTGTACACTGTCAAATTTTTTTGTACACTGTTCACATCCTTGTCACACTGTCAAGGATGGGGATCAGGAAGCAGAAATGGAAGCTGCCATGGTTTGGATAAGTGTCCCCCAAGGCCCATGTGTTAAAGGATTGGTCAGCAGCCTCCTATTGGAGGTGCTGGAACCTTTAAGAGGTAGGGCCCAGCAGGAGGAAGTTAGGTCCTGGGACGTGCCTAGAAGGCAATATTGACGCCTGGCCCCTTCCTTTTCTCTTTACCTCCCAACTGCCATGAGGTGAGCAGTTTCCTCTGCCACAGGCTTCCTCCACAATGCGCTGCCCTAGTACAGGTCCAAAAGCAACAGAGCCAACCAGCCATGGACAGAAACCTTTCTTCTGTAAGCTAAATTTATCTCAAGTATTCATTATAGTAACAGAAAGCTGACTAACACAGAAGCTTCAAACTTCCATTTCTAGTGCACTTTCCAGGGCTGGGAGTATAGCTCAGTGGTAGAGCACTGTCCTAAAATGTGTGAGGGTCTGGGCCCCACAAAAAATTAAAAAACAAAATGCACATTCCCTGATGGACTGGGACATCACAGAGCCCTTTCCAGGGAGCCGTAAAGTCCCCCAGATCTATGACTAGCCCTGGGTCTACAACAGACAGTGACAGTCCAACAATAAGGTGCACAGCAGGAATGGGGCCAAAATTTGAGCTCCACTAGGTCCCTCTGCTCACAGCACAAATAGAGCCATAGTCACACAGGATGACCTTAATTTACCTCCAGAGCCACTTTCTGACTATGAACCATGGCTCTCACTCTCTCTCTTTTCTTTCTTTCTTTTTTTGGTACTGGGGTTTGAACTCATGGCCTCATGCTTGCTAGGCTCTACCACTTGAGCTACTCCACTGAGCCACAGATGTCTTAAACTTCTTCACTCCCTCTTCATTTCTTACACAAACAACTGCCCTTCATTTCGAGCCAATTCCCAGAAAGAAACAGGATTTGTATCACTTCATCTGGGTGTCTGTACGTCACTCACTGATGGAGGACTCACGACCAGCTGTGGGGTTCAGCCAGCCAAGTGATGCCATGTCAGACACCAGAGCAGTAGACTCAAAGTTATGTTCCTAAGAAACCACAAATCACTACAGGTAGTGCACCTGTCATGTCTCCCCTGATTGCCAAAACCATGACAGCTCAGCCCTCTGTACAAAGTCCTGCTATACTGGATTGGTAAGGTGTCCCTGCAGAATTCCAAGAGGTCCTGGGGCCTGCCAAACTCTCAGGGTCCTCACACCTTTTGTCATGCCATTTCCCTATGTCAGTGGGATGCAACCCTGAGATCAGAATCACTCAGGGAACTATGAAAAGTCATGGATGCCTGGCTTTCCCCTGAGAGGAGGAGGGGTAGAAACCCATATGTAAAAAAGGAAAGCATGGAGTGCTCATGCTGGGCAGAGGAGAACAGAGACCCCCCTCCAGGCCTCACTACTTACATTGGTCTCCTTTTCACAGTGAGAAAACAGAGGCTTATAAGAATGAAGTGACTTCTCCAAGTTCAAACAGCGAAGTGGCAGGGCTAGAATTTAAGCTCCAGTGTTTTCCCCAGTACCTCCACATGCCCCCTCTGCACTCAGAGGCAGCGTTTCTCTCTGGCAATTGCCTTAAATTTCAGGCTGCAGCCCATGGACAGGTTCCAGAAGGCCCCAAAAGCTGGGTAGTCGACCCCCCGCCCCCATGCAGCAGCCTCGTGCTGGAGCATCTAATGCAGTCCAGGTATGCACCAGACCCCGTCCCCTCCCACCCCACCCATCAAAAGACTCCTTGAACCATAAAGGACAATTACGCATCATGTCTTGCACACTCAAGCAAAGGATAATGCTGGAAGAATGTGTGACCTCAGGAAAACTTTGCTCTTCTGAGCATTGAACACTGAATGTGAAGATGTATTTGCTTGTGTATCTTGTTCATTTGCCAATAGATGACAACCCACAGGAAACCTTTTGGATATGACTGAGCCAGGCGGGAGAAAAACTGTGCCTTGTGGAAGAGAAGAAGAGTGACAGCCCATCCCCCATCACCAAATCCCAGCTGCCCTCAGGGCCTGAACCCTGAGGTTCTGGTCACAGGGACCAGAGGGTAAGAACACACTGCATGGCCTTCTTAAGAACAGTGATATTTTGGAGTGAGGCCATCCTTAGGGAAGTCCCTGGAGTCCCCACCTTCTTCCACCCGCACAATCTCCACGCCCACCTGGGCGCCTGATGGGGATTCCAGAGGCGCTGTTCAGGTTGACAGCATTCCTGACAAGGCCTCAAGTCCAGTGTGGGGAAGAGGCCATCCTGGCAGGCAGGCAGCACAGCTGGAAACCATCAGGTGGCCACCCCCAGCCGTGGGAAAGCTCACTGAGGGATTTCCCCATGGAAGATAACAACAGATTCCCAGAGGTGACTTTGGGTCCTACTAGATGACCCTCAGCCCTCAGTGGGTGGATCCAGGGGCCACAGCAAAGGGGTTGTCCAGCCCCATAACTCTACTTGGCTTATCCCAGCAGAAATTGGGTTCCCAGGGCGGGGAGGAACTAGGTGCCCTCTGTTACCTAGGAAAACATCCTGGCTGGGGAGCTTTGAAGCACTGTCAGGGACTGTAGTGTGGCTCAGTCGTAGAACGGCCAGCCTGGGCCAAAATGGTGAGACCCTGTCTCAAACAAAGACTGAAGTTTCTAAGGATGTCTGTGAGTCAGGATTCCCAATCCAGAGACAACAGTCCTGACAGGATGGAACCAGAAGGCATGATCAAGGGAGAATGGAACCTACCATCACTGCCTTTCAGCTCTGAGATCGGCAGCACCACCATCAGTGACCCTGGTTTCTGGAAAAAGTAACTGGAAAGAGATCGCGGACAGCTTTGATGACAGGAACCTCTCCAAGTCCCTCTTCCATGGCATCCATGCCTATGGTTTTGAGAAGCCCTCTGCCATCGAGCAGTGAGTCATTCTTCCTTGTATCAAGGGTTATGATGTAACTACTGGGAAAACAGCCATGTTTGTCATATTGATTCTGTAGCAGATTGAATTATATCTAAGGGCCACCCAGGCCTTTGTCCTGGCACCCACTCGAGAATTAGCTCCATACAAAAGTGGTCATGGCATTAGGGGATTACATGGGTGCCTGTTGTCACACTGCATCAGGGACACCAGTGTGTGTGCTGAGGTGCAGAAGCTGCAGGTGGAAGCTCCCCATATCATCCGGGTACCCTGGCCGCAAGTTTGATATGATTAACTGGAGATACATCAAGATGTTTATCCCGGAAGAGTCCAGTGAAATGTTAAAGAGTGTATTCGAGGCCAGATCAATGACATATTCCAAGAGCCCAACAGCAACTGTCAGGTGGTGGTTTCTTGTTGGCTGCAATGCCTCCTGAAGTGATCAAGAAATTCATGAGGGATCCCATTCAGCTTCTAGTTGAGAAGGAAGAGTTGACTTTGGGGAGTATCTGGCAATTCTACATTAATGTAGAAAGAGAGGAATGAAAGCTGTGACTTGTATGAAACCCTAACGTCATCCAGGCAGTCTTCTTCATCAACACCTGAAGGAAGGTCTGTTGGCTCACTGAGGAGATTGTGTGCCCAAGACTGTGTCTGCCATGCACCAAAAAGGAGGAGATGTGGTTGCGAGGGAGCTCCGGTGTGGCTCTAGCAGCATATTGATCACACTGACCTGCTGGCCAGCGGCATTGAGAGGCAGCTTTCTTTAGTCATCACCTGTGACCTTCCCACCAATAGAGAAAACTAAATCCACAGAGTTGCCCATGGTGGTTGTTTGGGCCACAAAGGTACAGCTATTAACAAGGTTACAGAAAAACACAAGAGGACTCTTAGAGACATGGAATATTCTACAACACCTCCGCTGAAAAGATGCCCCTTAGTGTTGCTGACCTCATTTAAAAGGGGCTTTCCTGCTGCCTAAAATAAAGGGTGGGTGTTGTGGTTCATGTCTGTAATCCCAGCTACTTAGAAGGCAGAGATCAGAAGGATCTGACTCAAGGTCAGTCCTAGCAAAAAAGTTGGCAAGGCCCATCTCAACCACTCAGCCAGACATGGTGGTGCATGCCCACCTACTCAGGATGTAGAGATTGGGAGAACAGCCTGGGCAAAAACATGAGACCCTATCTGGAAAATAACTAAAGCAAAAAGGGAGGGAGGCATGACTTAAATGGTGGAGCACCTGCCTACCAAAAGCAAGGCCCAGAGTTCAAACCCCAGTACCATT